AAAAAAGAAAAAAAAAATTGAAAAAATTTCACTAATTTTCTCCATAACCAAAAATTGCACAAAAAAAGCATCGTGTGTAAAGACTGAAACTTTATTTAGGGTTTGCATTTACTTGTACTAAATAATAAGCTAAATACACTTCCAAATATTCCATTAGCGTACCCCCATTTAGCCAGAGAACAAGAGGCTTTGAAGCAGCTTCAGTTTCTGCCTCCACGAAGTAGTAAAAGAGGGATCTTGCCGGTTTTTCACCGACAGCAATGTAGCCGGAAAATTGCCGGAAGTTGGCCTTGGGCTGGCCAGGTAAACTTGAGATTTTATCAGCTTCGTAGTGGGATTTCACTTTTGTTACTTCGGATAACTGCAGTAAACAAATTATTGCAGAGATTAGCGGCCATGGCTGAGAAGATACCATGGCTGTGTGTTTGTGTGTGTTATCAGTGTATGTGAGGGTAGAGAGTAGATTAACCAATTTGATGGCACAGTTTGAAGATTATAAAATTACAACGGTTAGTCAGGTTAGACAGACATCACACAACGTTAGATGTTTAATTTTTTTTTCACCATGGAGTATTCTTTTAAATTAAATATTATAGTTAAAAAAATAATATAAATGAAAATATTGCATTGCAATTCATAACATAAATATGACATTGTGTCACACCACGGGTGGGGACCTATGCGAATTGGAGTGGACTTTTTTCGATAGTGGTCTGGTGTGTGCGGCTATGGAGAAACCACAGCATCTTCAATGGTCGTACCTTAGGATGTGAGGCGCGGTGACTCGAGGTTTTGTCCCGGCTCGAGTCTTACACTCAGGCCACCTCGGTTTCCGCTAAGACCGGGGTGGACATGCCCCATTTTGTGTCACGACTAATTTCTTGGGCCCCGCGGAATCCTGGGTGGGTTAAAGTTAATACCGATGACGCGTTTGACAAGACTTCTGGACTCAGTAGTGCAGGTAGGATCATTCGAGATGAGCTGGGGTGATGGGCTACGGGTTTTCTTATGAACATAGGGTACTATACCATAACCGGGGCGGAATTGTGGAGTCTTTTTCATAGGCTACAACTTGCATGGGACATGGGGTATCGAAAGGTTATGGTGGAAGTTGATAGCAAGTGCGTGCTTCAGATGATAAATGGGACCGGCTGCAGCTTTGGGGTACACGAGGCCTTAATCACGGCCACTCGTCAGTTGATTCAGAGGGAGTGGCATATTCATGTTCGACATGTGCATCACGAGGCAAATTTTGTGGCTGACCATCTGACGAGTAGCCTCTTGGCCGATTGGTTTTCATGAGTTGGCTTCTCCTCCCCTAGTTTGGGAGATTGGCTTGTGCATGATGATATCGGGTTTTTTTATCCTCGTCGTGTTTTAGTCTAACGTTTAGGGCGATGACCTCCTTCTTTGCACCAAAACAAATTAAAAAAAAATGACATTGTTGTATAATAGAATAGTATGACAAGTCAGCCTACTACTGTTTGGTAACTGATGATTAGAAGTCGTATTGTTTTCAAACTGTAAAATATAAGTTAAACTAAAATATAAATTTCATAATATAAAGTATGGGGAGATGTTACCGTCCCTTACGGAACTATTCTATCAGAATTTATAACCGTTAAATTATCATATAACCGTCTGGGATAATTGACTAACGATTACAGCTGCATAAAGTTTGTACTTTTATTAAGGAGGATAATTTTGTTATTGGCCACAAGTATGCTAAGTGGCCCACGCATTATGGAACTTGAAAAGTAGTGGGCATGAGCTAATAAAAGTATATGCATAAAATGACATAACGGCACGCGAATTAATGTTTTTCTTTTATATATATATATATATATTTTTTTTTTTTGTTGTATCATATGGTAGTCAATTGTAGTAGTTAAAAAGTAATGTGAGAGGACACCCCATTTGATTATTGTTTTTGTTTGCATTATACTAGTACGTATCCCGTGCGATGCACGAGATTGAAATATTAAATAAGTTATTTTACATGTTTTGTCCGTTTAAGTATATAAAACAATAGGATTATCATCTATTTTTCCATCTCTTTTGATCAACGTCAAGTATAATAAACAATAAGGTTATAATATCTTTTGCACCTCTTTTAATCAACGTTATTTTATTAGTCAAAATATTAAAATAATTAATATATTATTTCACTAACACATTTATTCTAATTTAAATTTAAATTTTAGTATATATATGTATTCCTTGATATAAGAGAGAATAGCAATCTTACTTATTCTTGTTCGTCATATAATACTTAATTATTATTTTATTATACACTTTATGTCATATACTGTCATTATTATCTATAAAGTTATAGAAGTTGTACGTCTTCTTTTTATTTTTATTTTTATTTTATGTAATGAAAAATATTTAATGCACGTTGGTATTATTTATTTATGTAATTAAATTAAAATATGTAAATAAATTTAATATTAAATAGTGTATAAATATTTTACAAAATATAAACATGTTTTTTTAGAATATAATTTTGTATACTAATTAAACAACTTTTATTTAGAAAATGCAAAAAACTTGATCCCCTCTATGATCATGATTTTTCCAATTCGCATTATAAAAATTTATGGTTTATTTAGCATACTCAGCAATGAAAATATATTTTACAAGAAATGTAATTATAGAAATAAATCAAAATAAAAAATGAAAAAAATATAATCATGGGTGCCAATAATATACGAATAAATTCTAAACAATAGTTAATATGTTTCAATTTTAATTTTTTACCATTAGTAAAACTATTTATTGTATCTGATATCACTTAAATGGTAAATTATATTAATTTGAAGAACGGTTTATTTTTTATATTTAACAAAATAAAGCTTAAGAACAAATATATTGACAAAGATTAATTCACCAACTTGATTTTGTCTGATTACTTAGAAAAAAAAAAAAAATCTACCTAACCTGTTACGATTGTCCATAAATATTTTTAGATAAAAAGTGAATATTTGTGGAAAAAAAAAACTAATATTATGGTTAGAACTTAAACTATGGTTTAATATTATCTTGACCAAAATATTATCAAATGGATCACAGT